CTTACAGTCTATTAAGGGACATAGGAGGTCTCTTACTTTTGGTCAAATCCAGGATAACCCCTCCCCCTACCAGCATGCCTCAGTTTGTAGTAGAGCAGTACCAAGAACTGGGATATGCGTCCCTCAATGGAGTCTTATCAAAAGGAGTTTACGGTGAGTACAACAATCTTATTTTCTTTCTCTTCCGTTGAGGGACACATTAGGTCATTAAAAGAGAACTATGGGGTAAGTGTTTTTCGCTATAGTTCTCAAGGGTCACAGGAGGACACATACTAATCTCCCGTGACCATAAGCTCAGTATAATGGTAGAAATGTCACCAGCACACCAGTACTTTTAGGATAGCAAAAGCTTCATTTATTGAAGTATTTTGTCATATGACCAACAAGCGCTTTCGGGACCACACAGGGTTCCTTCATCAGGCTTTAGCATTGACAAAGCTCAGTATATGGCGAGCTATACTGAGAGCCCAGCAGCCAGGACGGATCCCGACATTGCTGTCGAGATCCACCCGGCTGTGTGAATGACAGCTGGCTCTGCCTATCTAGAGGCAGAGACAGCTGTACCCTCCCCCGTCCATTCCTCCAGTCAGTGCTGGAGGGGGGAATCCCTGCTGGGAGCGGTGACTGACAGTCACGGCTCTCTGCAGGGAGGCGAGCGAGCGACGGTATGTGTTCGTTCACTTCCTGCTCTATTGAGCCGACGTGTGACAGTTTCATTGTCACACGTTGGCTCTGACTAAGGATGAGTCAAAATCACTCCTCCATAGTTCTAGTTTAAGGCCCCATTCACACAGAAATCGGCCTGCACGTACAGCTCCGTGCGGGGCCGTACCAAGTAGCTGCCGGGAAGGACTGGCTGCGTTTGATTAGTACGCAGCCCCGTCCTCTATGGGGCTACGCGGCCATACGCTCACCTCAATTGCAGGTCCGTAGGGGTGCGGGTTTTCTGGCCGGGACGCAGACAGGATCCATTCCGGCGGCGTATGAATACGCTCACCCGCACCCCTACGGACCTGCAATTGAGGTGAGCGTATGGCCGCGTAGCCCCATAGAGGACGGGGCTGCGTACTAATCAAACGCAGCCAGTCCTTCCCGGCAGCTACTTGGTACGGCCCCGCGCGGAGCTGTACGTGCAGGCCAATTCGTGTGTGAATGGGGCCTTAAGCTTCGGGATGTGCAAAAGCAGTCCAACAGAGGGATCGGCAACACCACTAACTGACCCAGGAGAAATAGAGAACTGGAGAATGCCTGCAGTTCAAACATCAGAATGTGTGGACAGGACCAGGTGGAAGCCTTGCAAATCTGGAAAACAGTTGCTTGATGCCAGAAAACCATGAAGAATTTACAGATGTGGTAGAGAGCATCTTGGCGGGAAACGGTAGAACACAATCCTTGAGGCCATGAGCTTGGATGATGGTCTGTCTAAGGCGCTGTCTAGAGATGGTGGAATGAGAAGCCGATGTACCCTTGTGAGACCCATGCGGTATAATAAAAAGAATGTCTTCCCGAAAGAACCAGTGTCTGACAGAGAGACTCTCACAACCTGAACCACATCCAGATATTGGAGTGAAATCTACTTTTGGTGCACTAGAGCCAGACCAAGGGATGGAAGAACAATTTCCTGGTTGAAATAAAGTTGAGGCCCAGAAAATCTTGGACCTCAACACCACCTTGCCCCAATGCAGCACTAGAAATGGTTCCTTGCAGCATAAGGCCGCCAGTTCAGACCTTCCCCTTGCAGAGGTGATGGCTACAAGGAAAACTACCTTGTGAATGACGGTAGAAAGAGGTATGTGGGTTTCTGAATCACAGAAAGAACCAGATTCAGATCCCACAGGGGAACAAAAAGGGACATTGCAGGGGGGAACAAAAAGGGACCTGGCCCTTGATGATGCTAAGAGCCAAACGCGGGTCCAGGCTCAGCTGTAGGAAGGAGAGGATTTGCCCCAAGGAGAAACTCCTAAGGTGGAAGCCCCTGGATTCATACAAAGTGACGTATGCCTTCCACATCTGATGACAGGCCTTATGGGAGGTAGCCTTCAAACTTTTATGCCGAGGAATCACAGATTCAGAGATGCACCCGTTTTTCACAACCTGAGCTTCCAACAACCATACAGGTAAAGCCAGCGACTGTGAAGCAAAATGGTAAATCAATCTTTGAGGGAAAGAGATATTGATCATCTGGAAGATCCAATGGAGCGTCTGTCAGATATCTTACCAGGATGGCATACCACAGCGGCTTGAGCGATCCTGAAGCAATGAGGATTTTCAGAATGCTCTCCATCTTGAGAAAAGTTTTAAGGGAGTGTAGGCATAGGTTGTATTAATCCCAGGGAGCCACCACTGCTTCTGCTAGAAGAACCCTGTACCTAGAAACAAACCTGTCTAGTTTGTTGCTGACCACGAAAGCCAGGAAGTTCACATCCAGCATCCACCACCTGTGACACTGGTCCTAGAACACCTCGGGGTGTAGGTACTGCTCCCCATGGGTTCAGGCACCATTGGCTGAGGAAGTTTGGCAGTTGTCTATGCCTGCGATTTAAACAGACAAGTCAGGAATGTGGACTTTTGCCCAGGACATAATCCGATCTACCTCTCTTGCCACAATGAGACGCATGGTCCAGCGCTGCAGAGCAAGCCAAATCATTCAGGATTTTGATCGGGAGATGAGACTCTGACGACCAATTCTCCTGCATTGACTTTGAGTGCGATAAAGTGGTCCTATGCATGTGTACTGACAGGAGACCCATGCCAGAGATTGCTTGATGAATTTAATAGTCTAGGGAACAACCACAGCAGTGACCAGATTTTTTTTTATTTTTTAAAGGGATTTTGACCAATGAGCCATATTTTGGCCCAGTAGTCACAGCCAAGATGCGGTGAAGAGCAGGGGGCCTGCCAGTAAAAAACAAAGTTCTGGAGAGGACTTCCAAACGCTTATTGGTTGGGTACTTAAGGAAAGGTGCAGCGTCCACCACTATGGTAGTCCCTTGAAGGGAGAACACTGCCGGATCCACAGTGGGAGTATACCACTTCGTTTACACAATCCCCCCGAACAGGTACAAGGCTAATAAGTTTGGTCGGAACAAGCAACTTGTCAGTGTTTTCAATCTGCATAAATAAAGAGATGGAACACCGGGTTCAGTGGGCAAGTCTTTGCAACATGATGGGTTCTAAAGGACACAAGACTGAAAACGCATCTGGTAGAATCAACAGGCTGCGTTTCAGGATGGTGGGCACCATATCAATAAGAACCAAAGCAGTCTCCTTTAAATTAGGAATAATAGCAATGGGCTGAGAGTCCTCAAGGGGCAAGCATATCAAAGACTGGAGCGACTCAGTCTCAGCAGCTGATGGCTCAAAAGCCACCAGAATCTGCAGGAGATGGTGCAGGAGTGCACATGTGGTCATGATATTTCATTATTTTGGAATTCGGATCCGAAATTCAATTCGGTTCTGACGAAATCAGAATTTCGGTAGTTTCGGATGAGTTTACGAACGTAATTTCGTCACCAATACCACAGAAAACTATATACAGATATTAATGCTAAAGCTTAAGCTCCTAGACCCGAATGGCATTGGGGATCTGAATTTCGGAATGCCATTCGGCTCTGGGAGCCATATACATATATTACTAAAGCTGAGGCTCCCAGACCCAAATGGCATTCGGGAGCTCCCCAATGCAATTCGGAAATTCGGATCCCGAAATCCATTCGGGTCTAGCAGCCTCAGCTTTAGTATTTGTATATACTGAACACACATTCTATGCATTACGGTATGTGACTATTCTGGCCAATCGGATGGCTCCCATGTTGCCGTAACAAAAATTTGCATTCAGACACATTCGGATGCATTAAAGGAGAACTATGAGGTAAGTGCTTTTCACTCACCTCATAGTTCTAGCCGACCTGTGACAATGAGACTGTCACAGGTCGGCTCAGTAGATTGGGAGCTGAGCGAGCACAACGGCGTTCGCTCACCTCTCGATCCTGTCACAGCTCTCTGCCGTGACAGGGGAGGGGCTGGATTCCCTGCTCTGATCTGCCAGCGCTGACTGGCGGAACGGACGGGGGAGGGGGCGGGTACAGCTGGCTCTGCCTCTGATAGGCAGAGCCAGCTGTCGGTCACGCAGCTGGGCGGATCCCGGCACAATTGTCGGGATCTGCTTCAGCTGTGGCGTCTTAGTTTACCGAAAGCAGCAACTCGCGGTATACTGAGCTTAGGGTGACGGGAGGACGCTAGTTTGTGTCCTCCCGTTACCCTAAGGAAAACTATGGGGAAAAACACTGACCCCATAGTTCTCCTTTTAAACCGAAAAACATCTGATTGGCCAGAAAAGTCACATGCCCGATTCATTTTCGTTTTTGAATGAAATGCGGAAATGGAAAGTCAGATTAAGAGACTCTGTCACACTGTTGCCAGCATTACACAAATGTGTCAATTTCCCATAAAGTGGCAATGTCTCTTTTAGCTCTTTCTATTGATAGTAATGGAATATCAAGTTCTCAGCTCCAACGTTGATAGGGTGGAACATGGTCACATCTCCTGCACCCCCACCCCATGTACCTGAATCTCGGAGTTCTTCCCTCTACAGGCTCCTCCTGTCAGTTTTAACCCTTGCATTGCAGGAGGCGCTGTACGTGTGTTTTCTCCGCTAGTCAGTTACTTTATTAGCAAAACTGTGTAAGCAGACAGACATTTTATGCACAAGAGACATAATAGAAACTGAAAGTTCTTTGCAAAGTTCTGTAGCAGGTACGCTGAGCTGAGCTGTGCGGCAGTTGTGTCATCCTGGCCAAGGGAAAGCTGGAGAGGGAGTTTGTGGAGGTTGCATGGCTGAGACTGACGGGACTATTATACCAGACCACATTCATGTTAATAGCCACCAAAAAGCAGCTTCTCTCTCTGGAAGCAGCCGCTTCCGGCGTGCCTATGACGTCATGCAAAGGGCAGAGGCTGACAGGGTCTCCCGTGCCCTCAGCAAACATGGCCGCCGCGGGCGCAAGTACCTGCAGAATGGCTACTACGCAAACTGGGCGGGGACTTGCTGGAGATTGGCAGAGCGTGGGCTAGCCTGCACGCCATTGGTCGCTGAGCTCAGGCTGGGGGCGGGGACGGCCTCCTGCTGTCAGTTGTTCAGCAACGGACCCGTGGAAATGGACGGCCGGAGACCGGTGCCGGGACCTCCCGGGGAGGGAGGGCCTGAGCCCAGCCGGACCAGCGGCGCCCGGGGAGCTGCCATCCGAGTGCTGAAGGTGAGGGGCGGAGCGATGGGGGACCACTGACAGATCACTGAGTGCAGGCACTGATCACCGGCTACAGGTGTACTACGGGCAGCCATGCGTAATAGATCCCCGAGCAGAGGTATAGAGATCTCCGCGATGTATTATATACACCTGTGTGCAGGTGTCACCCATACTACAGGCAGCCATGTGTGCGGGGATCTATCCTATATATACACCTGTGCGCAGGGATCTATCCTATATATACACCTGTGCGCGGGGATCTATCCTATATATACACCTGTGCGCGGGGATCTATTCTATATATACACCTGTGCGCGGGGATCTATTCTATATATACACCTTGCGCGGGGATCTATTCTATGCGCACCTGTGCGCGGGGATCTATTCTATGCGCACCTGTGCGCGGGGATCTATTCTATGCGCACCTGTGCGCGGGGATCTATTCTATGCGCACCTGTGCGCGGGGATCTATTCTATGCGCACCTGTGCGCGGGGATCTATTCTATGCGCACCTGTGCGCGGGGATCTATTCTATGCGCACCTGTGCGCGGGGATCTATTCTATGCGCACCTGTGCGCGGGGATCTATTCTATGCGCACCTGTGCGCGGGGATCTATTCTATGCGCACCTGTGCGCGGGGATCTATTCTATGCGCACCTGTGCGCGGGGATCTATTCTATGCGCACCTGTGCGCGGGGATCTATTCTATGCGCACCTGTGCGCGGGGATCTATTCTATGCGCACCTGTGCGCGGGGATCTATTCTATGCGCACCTGTGCGCGGGGATCTATTCTATGCGCACCTGTGCGCGGGGATCTATTCTATGCGCACCTGTGCGCGGGGATCTATTCTATGCGCACCTGTGCGCGGGGATCTATTCTATGCGCACCTGTGCGCGGGGATCTATTCTATGCGCACCTGTGCGCGGGGATCTATTCTATGTGCACCTGTGCGTGGAGATCTATTCTATGTGCACCTGTGCGCGGGGATCTATTCTATGTGCACCTGTGCGCGGGGATCTATTCTATACGCACCTGTGCGCGGAGATCTATTCTGTGCGCGGGGATCTATTCTATACACACACTTGTGTGCCAGGATCTATTCTATATATACACCTGTGTGCCAGGATCTATTCTATATACACACCTGTGTGCCGGGATCTATTCTATATACACACCTGTGTGCCGGGATCTATTCTATATACACACCTGTGTGCCGGGATCTATTCTATATACACACCTGTGTGCCGGGATCTATTCTATATACACACCTGTGTGCCGGGATCTATTCTATATACACACCTGTGTGCCGGGATCTATTCTATATACACACCTGTGTGCCGGGATCTATTCTATATACACACCTGTGTGCCGGGATCTATTCTATATACACCTGTGCGCAGTTCAGCATGGTCATGTGGCTGCACTGGCCAATCACCACTCCACATGGCAAGCATTGTGTTGCCATACAGCATGGGTGGGCAAACTCCGGCCCCCCAGCTGTGGTGAAACCACAAATCCCATCATGCATCTGTCCCTGGGCTGGGAGTCATGCCTGTGGCTTTGAGAATCTTGCAATGCCTCATGGGATTTGTGGTTCCACAACAGCTGGAAGGCTGGAGTTTTTCTCCGCCCACCATACAGCCTCCGGTGCCGTGTAGTGAAGTTTTCAAGTGCCGGGTCAATTAAATGGGCTGACAATAATGGCGGAAGAGGGTCATCCTTGCAAGTAATTGCAGAAAGAATGGGGGGGGGGACAAGGAGGAATTTATTGTGAAAAGTTGGAGTAACCCTTTAAATCAAACACAGGAGGCCGGTGTGACTGAGGGCTCATTTGTCCCCCCCTGTGTAGGTGCCTCACCTTGTCCTCCATTACAGTCGGCTGTGGCATACAATGAAAACAGGCAGGAGAAAAAAAATTCCAGCCCTCAGTGGTTTTTCTTTTTCTTTATTAATTTTTTTACTGTTGTCAGTAAAAAAATAAAAAGGTTTTACGAGGGCTGGCAGGTGGAAATAAATTGTGAACGAGCAGCTTTTATGGCGTGGCTAAAAGGACTTTACACGTTTTAGATGTAGCCGTTCTGTGGGCGGTCATGGGAGAGATCTGAACGTGTTCCAGATGAAGCAATTTGTTCAGGATTGGGGGGATATATTACAATGGCACCTGGAAGTAGGGGGATATATTACAATGGCACCTGGAAGTGGGGGGGATATATTACAATGGCACCTGGAAGTGGGGGATATATATTACAGTGGCACCTGGAAGGCATTCAAAACCCAGCAGGGAGTCTAACCCTCCCCCAACCTATCCAAACCTAGGAAAAAAGTTTTGGCTTTCGATAACGGAAGATCTGAGCCGAGGTCGGGTCCGTTATCAAGTTATCCAATTATTGGCAGAATATTTTATTGTATGTTCAAGTCTGGACAGGTCTGTGATTGGCTATGACCTTTGCACTCTGCTGATAAGCTAAGAATGGTTTGCGCTCTTGTCACTTTTATCGGTGCGCGTTACACTTACAGTGACTGGAGTCCCATGATTAGCACACTGATAAGGGGGGTAAGCGTTACCCTTTATTGGATAATTCAATTTATTAAAGATAAAGCTTTCCGGATCCCTTAGATCTCTTCTTTGGACTTTATACATAAAGGATATCACTTAACCCCTGCCAGTGCTGCGAAAAACGACGGTACCCAAAACTGCCCATAGACGATGCCTAAAGAACTTTTGCAGATCATCAGTTTTAGAGTAAACTGGAAGTAATGGCCCCGGAATTTATTGCTCGTACTTTGACGTACGTGGCAATACCCAACATACATGGCACAATCGTTATAGGTGCACCTGATGCATGTATGTGTGAGTATGTTGGGACTTTTTTTTTTAATTAAAAGTGATTCTAAACTCAGAAGTTAAATCTTAAAAATGCATTCAAGTGCCCTAAATATTAACAAAAACGTAGCATAGATCCTCAAATCATCTTTAAATTGGTGTTGACCCTGTCCTTCCTTTTGGAGGGTGGCTACTTTTGTTCCCGTGTGTGTGTGTGTGTTGTCGAGCCCCTTAGAGGTCAATGGGGATGTACTGCACAGGTAGACGGGCCCCTTAGAAGTCAATGGGGATGCACTGCACAGGTAGACAAGCCCCTTAGAAGTCACAGGGGATGTACTGCACAGGTAGACGAGTCCTTTAGAAGTCACAGGGGATGTACTGCACAGGTAGACGAGCCCCTTAGAAGTCAATGGGATGTACTGCACAGGTAGACGAGCCCCTTAGAAGTCACTGGGGATGTACTGCACAGGTAGACGAGCCCCTTAGAAGTCAATGGGGATGTACTACACAGGTAGACAAGTCCCTTAGAAGTCACTGGAGATGTACTGTACAGGTTGATGAGCCCTTCAGAAGTCACTGGTGATATACTACACAGGTAGACATGCCCCTTAGATGTCACTGGGGATGTACTACACAGGTAGACCAACATTTATTGATTTTTAATGGACGCATAACCGGATTAAACAGCAATCTTTTTTTTTATCTTTCGGAATTTTGCATTATGTTGCAGTTCCCACGACTGAAGTCCTATAATTAACCTGCTAATGGCTTAAGGCTATAAAGTACACCTTGGCATGCTGAGGGTTGTCTGTGAGATGTGTTCAGTTCTATCCGGTCTTCTGAAACAAAAGACCTAAAATTGTCTGAGAGTTTGGAGCCCTCACATGAGTCAGATTTAAAGGGCAACACACAGAAACGTTCTGATCCTTGTCAGTGAACCCATAATGGCATCCGGATTTCATTGCAGCTGTGCCAAAGGTGGAAGACTCTAGTTGGTCCTCTCGCTGTTGCGCTATGTTCTTGTTGACCTCGTTGGCTGCTGTTTGTATTGGCCACTGGTCACTTTTTACGGCTCTGGATCTTGGGTTCACTCTCCCACAAGGACACTATCTGCATAGAACTGATCTGTTTCCTCATGCATGCCAAGAACTCAAAGCTACCAAAAGGAAACACGACCAAACGAGGGGAGAACATACCAACCCCATGAAGACAGTCCTTGGTGGGAACCTCAAGCTCAAAACAGCAAGGGAGGAGTGCCAACCACTGGGCCATCATGCTGCCCTTAGATATGGTCATTAGTAGTGGTCAGGTCATTTTTTGGTTTATAGTGTTCTGTGTATAGTACAGGGCTCAAAATTTCAAGTCCTGAGCCTCCACCTTCTCTTCCCCTATCCTGCCACCACTGGACTCGTGCCTGACTCGCCCTCACTTTATTTCCACTCGCCAAATGTGAGCAGGCGAGTGGAAATTTTGAGCCCTGGTATACTCTGTTTCTTCACAAAATGAAAAACTTAATAAAAATACTTTGAAAGTAAAATAGAGTCCCATTGGGGCTGAGAAGTAGAAATACACTTTAACCTCTTGCCATCCGCACGTTAAGAAAAAAACGGACGGACGGCTGACTCCTACCTGCGGGTTGCCGTCGTCAGACGGCATTTTTTTCCTGCTCTTTCCTTTGCAGCTAAAACAGCCTCCACTCTTCTGGGAAGACTTCCCGCACGATTCTGGAGTCTGTCTGAGGGAATTTGTTCCTATTCAGCCAAAAGAGCATTTGTGGGGTCAGGTAGTGATGTTGGATGAGAAGATCTAGCTCACAACCAGCATTTCCATTCAATACCAAAGGTGTTCAGTGGGGCTAAAATGTGACCAGTGCATGGCCAGCTTAACTGGTGGCAAGTCATTGGGAAAAGTTCTGTCCAATACACGGCAGTCGTGGCAATGTGCACATTTTAAGGGGCTCTTCTACCTTTTATGTATATATAGTACTTTCCAGTTTTCTATGTTGGGAAGGTTTTATGGATGCCGTACATTCTATGGCTAAATAACTGCTAATGGCTACTGTGTTCTTCTACAGAGAAATATGAAGCGAAGTACGAGCAAGAACTGCTTGAATCAGAGGTGCTGCCTGGGCTCTCGTGAGCGAGACTGGCTGAGGGAAGACCCAAACCGTGGATGCGTCTTCGTACATGGATCAGATCATGGCTCCTCCGTTCCCGACCTCCATGTTGTGCTCTGTACGGTGGACACGATGACCTCCGAGATCTGCTCATGTGAAGGGATGGAGAGTTTGTACATACAGCTCAATGGAGACCTGGTCAGGTGAGACGGATGGTGATGCTCCATTGGTGGTGGTTGGGAGGGTTGCTGGTCTATAATGTCCTTCAGTTATAGTATGGCCTTCGTCTTCCAGGTTGAATGATACAGAGTTGAGACTGAGAACATCCAGTGGTCTGAAGGCGTTAAAAAAAACCAAAACACTTTTTATTAATTTGTAATTAACTTTCCAATGCTTTGTACCAGAATCATCATTTTAGTGTAATTTGAAACGGGACAAAAATGTTTTCTACATGTTATCTACATTAACACTAGGGATGCACCGCTACCGTTTTTTCGGTATTGAGTACGAGTACCAATATTTTTTGTGGGGGTACTCGCCAATACCGAGTACCGGTGCCGTGTGCCCCAATTATCAGGAAGTCGGGCGGCGGATCCTGACCCGTTGCCCAGCTTCCTGATTGCCTGCAAAGCCGAAGTTCTAGCTAAAGAACACCGGCTTCAGAGGCTGCCAGGCTTCCTGACTGGCTAGGAAGTCGGCTTCACTTGTTTCTAGGCAGCGCGGCTTCCTGATCAATCAGAAAGCCGGGAGGATGTGAGCACGTCATGACCCAGCTCCCATTGGCTAGGAAGCCGGCTTCACTTGTTTCTAGGCAGCCTTGCTTCCTGACCAATCAGGGATGTGGGTCATTACGTGCCGGTCGGCCTCCTAATTGGTTAGGAAGCCGAGCTGCCTACCAACAAGTGAAGCTAGCTTCCTAGCCAATCAGGAAGCTGGGCGGCACGTCATGACCCGCCACCGTTGGCCAGGAAGCCAGCTTCACTTGTTTATAGGCAGCCTGGCTTCCTGACCCATCAGGAAGCCGGTAGGTGGGTCATTACGTGCCGCCTGGCTTCCTGATTGGCTAGGAAGCCAGGCTGCTTAGCAACACATGAACCCAGCTTCACTTGTTTCTAGGCAGCCTGGCTTCCTAACCCACCGCCCGGCTTCCTGAATTGAAAGGAAGCTGGTTCCATGCTCCCTCGGCACTGCGAGTCAGAAAGGAGATCCCCCTCTGACCGGAAGTTCCGGTATCGGTGCATTTGGGTGAGTATGAGTACTAGTAATACTAGTACCGGTATCGGTGCATCCCTAATTAACACAAATTGAAAGCAGTATGTAAAATGTGCTGATCAGCGCAGCAAAAAAGGGTCAGGGAGCAATTTGGGCAGGAGGTGGTTCGGATGGTTAGCAATGTATGGGATCGTTCATGTCGGTGGATCTGCGCGGCCGAACCGCCCATGTGTGAACAGGGCCTAACAATGAACAGATTTTTAAAAAGTGGTATTTTTTTGTCTATGAATCAAATAAAAAAAATGTTGTTAGACAATAATCCGATGTCCTATTTAAAAAAAAGTAGATGTATTACCTTGTTATTTTACAGGCTAAGTTTAATCGATTAGTTGGTTGCAGCCCTAGACAACTATGGAGAGCTCACAATGGTGCCCCAAAACTTTACCCAACGTTGTATAGTTATCATTTGAACTCGTTAAGAATGTTGGATGCAACATGGGCAAGAACTTTTGCTAGCAGTTTCCTTGGTGGTAAAGTAGCAGTAGGATCATCCGCGGACGCTCCCCGCAGCTTATACGAGAAGACTTTTCTTGTTTGCTTCGGCAGAGGGAAGAACTCCTTCATTGTGTCATTAGATTAACATTTGTATCACTTGTAATCCACTGGTTGTCCACATCACTAAGTTACTGTTCACATTTCCCCGAGCAAATATTTGAACATTTGCCTTGTTGGTCTTGAAGTTCTGCCACGCTCCGATAGAGATATTTATAGATCAGATTGGCATCTTGTCTGGAGCTCGTATTGGAAAGTTTACGCTACTTGAAGGCGATGACAGATGACACTTTATTGTTAGTGTAACTTCCTATATATATATATAGTCTAACAAGTAGTATTTTGTCTACATTCACCTGCTTTGCAATTGCTCCCGATAACAGATTCACCATAGTAAAGACTGTGAAGGTTCTCATTCATCCAGGTCATGGTACATCTGTAAAAAATAAGTCAAGGCAACTGGACTTGCTGTATTTTTCTTGAAGACGTTTCACTGGACATCCAACCAGATTTCTCAATTCAGAATGACTTGTACTAAAAATTATCTGGGAATTAATATAGTGAATGTTGCTCCAATCCACATAATCTGTTAGTCGCAACCAGGTGTTGATATAATTTGCATAATTGGAGCTAGGAGGTGTTAATAACCTGCCCAGAGAGAGGTGTTAAAACAGCATTGTATGTGGAAGACAATAGATGTCTCCTATGGCAGGTGACACCCCTTTCTGTTTGGAGAGTGACTTGATCTGCACCATTTTCATTTTGTTTCTAAGTTCAATGTCATTTTCTGCTTACAGGAGGCTGGAACCCGAGGAGCGCCCCCTGCACATCATCTACAAGTACCTATCAGAGCTGGGATTCCGGGACTCCTTGAGGATACAGGAGGAGGCGGCCCACTCTGATCTCGGCTGCATGATCCGATTTTATAGCGGTAAATTGCTTCTTCTCTATATATGACGGCATCGGAAAGATCGATGTAGGCGGGGACTAACCACCTACCCAGGCTGGCCTTAGATGTTTTTAATTAGATGTTATATATATTAGGGATGCACCGATAATGGTACTAGTATCGGTATCGGTGCCGATACCAAGTATTTGGGCGAGTACTTGTACTTGCCCAAATGCTCCGATACCGGAACTTCCGGACAGAGGAATATTCCCTCTGACCGGCACTGCCGTAGGGGAACATGGAGCCGGCTTCCTGGGCAATCAGGCCGGGCCAAACAGCCGGCTCGTTACTAATTGGCTGAGAAGCCAGCCGGGAGGCGGGTCATTACTCGCCGCCCGGCTTCCTGATTCGCCGGGAAGCCGGGTCCATGCTGATTGGCTGGGAAGCCTGTTTCCTAGCCAAGCACAATCGAGCTGGCCAAAAAACATGCAGCCAGCCTCCTGGGCAATCAGGAAGCCAGGCGGCATGTCATTACCCTCCCCCCGGCTTCCTGACTGCCCGGTAAGCCGGCTCCATGCCAGTGGAAGCATTGGTATCGGTACTCGGTATCGGTACTCGGTATCGGCGAGTACTGAAAGCAAAATATCGGTACACGTATTCAATACCAAAAAGAAAAATGGTATCGGTGCATCCCTAATATGTACACTACATTGCCAAAAAAAAGTCACCACTTGCATTTAGTGTTCTTATCTGGGGTTGCTTCAGTTGGTCAGGTTGGTTGGTCAGCTGCCTACCTGAATATACTGGATGACCAGGTTTTTCCATCAATGGGTTTTTTCTTCTCTAATGGCACATTGGACATATTCCAAGATGACAATCCCAGGATTCATCGGGCTCGGATTGTGAAAGAGTGGTTCAGCAAGCATGAGACATCATTGTCACACATGGCTTGACCACCACAAAGTCCAGACCTTTACTCCATTGAGAACCTTTTGGGATGTGCTGGAGAAGACTTTACGCAGAGGTCCGACTCTCCCATCATCACTACAAGATCTTGGTGAATGCAACTCTGGATGGAAATAAATTTGGCCTTGAATAAGAATATCAAAATGATGCCATGGCGAATGCATGCCGTAATCAAAGCTACCTTAAAGGCGGTCCAACAAAATATTAGAGTCTGTGACTGTGACTTTTATTTATATATACAGTAAACTCCCAGTTAGATACCTTTTTTATAACTGTAGTTTCTGGTTGCTTGAGAGCTACTATTGTCTCTGAAGCAACACCTCCCCCTCGCCCGCCCCATTCAGCTGGCTAGATTCTGCTATTGGCTATTTCAAACTGCCACGACCAATAGCAGGCTGGCCATTACACATGCCCACTGCCCATTGTTTGCATTCACCTGCCAGCTGAGGACACTAGCTGTCGGCCGCAGCAAGATGTAGACTGAGAATTTTGTTAGCAGCTAAATACATTTGTGCACATGTCTATCAAGCAATTGGAAAAAAATAATTGAGGACATATTATGTCCTTGATTTTTTTTTAAATTCTTTTCTGGTTGCTTGAATGCCGGACAATGGGGAGTTTACTTATGCAAAACTCCATTCCCTGTAACAGAGCTTGAACTGTGAGCCCTAATGGCTGTCTGTAGAGGTGACAAAGCAGTCGCTTGTCTTTCTCACTTTAGCACAGTTGGCCGGGAGCTCTTCAGACTGCCATTGGCCTCTTTATAGCCGGCAGGGCATGGATCATTTGTGTGCACGGCTTGTTTTATAAACCGCCCTACTTGTAAAAAACACTTTCGGCTCTGCAGTTGCCGGCAGCCAATGGGACCCGCGCATGGGTCCGTCACATGTTCTTCCCCGTAAACCTTTCGTCACCCTTGGCTGATACTTTTAATATTTGCAGGAGGAAGTGGAAGACACAGCAATGTAGCAGATCAGGTTTGGGTTCCATTATCGGCAGTGTGCACAAGGTTTATCGCGTGTATCTAACCAGTGGGGCCACTCTGTCCAAATCTAGACATAATCTCTTTTGTCTGTAGCCTTTCTAATCCAGGGTGCCTTCTGGGTTGTCTAAATACAAGAGCCATGTGTCTTCCTTCACTCTTGGTGAGCTTTGTGTATTTCTTCCAGATCTGTGCAGTTATCCAGCGTGACACTTGGAGCTTTCTGTAATAAAGACCGATCACTGCTGCTCTCTCTGCTTGTGCAGGGAGACTGGTCTTGTCTCCACCCCCTCCTGCAATAAAGACCAGTCACTGCTGCTCTCTCTCCTTGTGCAGGGTGACTGGTCTGGTCTCCGCCCCCACCTGTAATAAAGACCGCTCACTGCTGCTCTCTCTCCTTGTGCAGGGTGACTGGTCTTGTCTCCGCCCCCCTCTTGTAATGAAGACTGCTCACTGCTGCTCTCTCTCCCTGTGTAGGGTTACTGGTCTTGTCTCCGCCCCCTCCTGTAATAAAGACCATTCACTGCAGCTCTCTCTCCTGGTGCAGGGTGACTGATCTGCAGGAAGCCTGTAGTGGGTGGGGACTGCTGGGCCCCTCCCACAGCTCTGCTATATGCACAGGTTTTGTACAGCACAGTGATGATGTCACTGCTACATTTATATGGTAATAAAAGAATAAATATTGTATGTATTAATATCATTCCTATTATTATTTTCAGAGAAACCGAGTTCTAAGGAACAGTTGGACCGGATTTTGCTTTCGGGTGTTTTTAATGTACGCAAAGGCAAAATTCAGCTACATAAGTGGGCGGAAAGGCTCGTCGTTCTCTGCGGTACCTGCTTAATCGTCTCCTCTGTGAAGGATTGTCAGACGGGGAAGATGCACATTCTGCCCCTTGTGGGTGGGAAGGTGAGCAGAATGCGCCTTGTGTATGTATTATCACCGCATGAAGAGAACCAGTCACCGATGGACATTTGTAGCAATCTGAATCTCCACCTTTAATTGTTCCATTAGTGCAACTTTACCTCTTGGGGGGTTTACTGTTGTTTTATTTTTTTTCTTTTCTTTTCTCCCTGTCAGAGCAGAAGTATTGGGCTAAGTACATTGGTACCTCGGGTTCAGGAACGCTTCTGTTCGCGAACAGGACGTTCGGCAAAATTTTGCTTACGTTCGCAAACTCCGCATCATGTGACAAACACAACCTCAGCCATCTTCCCTGCTCTGACACGTGGTCATGGCTTCCTCTAGTCGAGATCGCGGTCTGATCACAGTTTGATGCAGTTCGCGACCAGAATCGTGGAACGAATTAAGTTCGTGAACTGAGGTACCACTGTATCTGGCTGTTCTGGTGTCTTATCTCGTGCCTGAGCTCAGGCACTCTTGAAGCTGTCCTAAAACAAAGGTGCTGCCATGATTACAAGTATATCTAGACCCAAAAGCAAAAAAAAGGTAATATATTGCAGCTTACTAGTCCTTGCCCAGATGTGGCAGCTGCATTAGTTTTATCAGGTGAACAACATTTTCAGAATACATGATTTTGCCAGAAATACAACAATCCTTGTACTTTAATTTGGGATTAGATATGGCAGGCATAAAGCTTTAAGTAACCGGTTTACCTCCTCAAGCAGCACAAGTAGAGTGTCAGTTAAAATCTTTAAAGAAGACCTCCTGGAAAAGCACAAACTTACCCTCCAGGAGGGGTTACCCCCGCAATGCAAGGGTTAAGTGCTCATTTTGTCCAGGGGTGCAAATAAACTGATCCTCGGTTGCACCAGCTCCTTCTGGGCTGCTCGACCAGTCCCCACAGCCTATTCTTTCCTGGGCCCTGATGGTCTAAGGAGCGCTGACGTTATCATTTCTTATGCAGGTTTATTGACCTGCAGTTAACCCTTGCAGTGCAGGGGTAGCCCCACTGCAAGGGTACGTTTGTGATTTTTCCCAGAGTTCATCTTTAAAGGAGAACTATGACATGAGTGATTTCCACTCACCTCATAGTCCTAAGCTGACCTGTGACAATGAGACTGTCACAAGGTCGGCTCAGTAGATCGGGAGGTGAGAGAACACATACCGGGTTCCCTCACCTCTCGATCCTGTCACGGCTCTCTGCCGTGACAGGGGGAGGGGCTGGATTCCCCTCTCCCCGCTCCGATCTGCCAGCGCTGACTGGCGGAACGGACGGGGGAGGGGGTGGGTACAGCTGGCTCTGCCTCTAGATAGGCAGAGCCAGCTGTCACTCATGCAGCTGGGCGGATCCCGTCATCTAAGTCGGGATCCGCTCCAGGTGTGGCGTCTCAGTATACCGCGAGCTGTAGCTCACGGTATACTGAGCTTAGGGTAACGGGAGGACGCTAGTTGGTGTCCTCCCGTTACCCCAAGGAGAACTATGGGGAAAAACACTGACCCCATAGTTCTCCTTTAAGCTCTGGCCGGAACATTTTTTCTCTGACTGGAAGAGAACACATGTGAATAACCTCACCTTACACACAGCTATCCCCAAAAGCTATGGCCAGGGCTGTCCCTTTTAATTAGGCAGCCTGAGGCTGTTGCCTCAGGCAGCATATCTTTGGGTCATGTGGGGTGGTGGCACGCAGACCGGCATGGTTGCTTTGCTGCACAATATTTGCAGTGTGCCTGACGCTGCCTTTCTGTTCGGGGTGTCCCAGGTTACTGAGAGCCGGGCAGGGAGATGTATAAATGCCGTTATCATCTCCCTGCACAGCTCTTAGCAACGTGGGCTCTTAGCAATTGGTTGCCAGGAGTTGGTCGGCATCCAGCGCAGCTCCTGGCAACCAGTGATGTTGCTGGTTGCCAGGAGCTGGATGGGATGCCGAGCCAGGTGGGGAGGGTGGCGTCACTCCATTACCACCATCCCGCTTCACCCCAACCTGCCTAAGTCAGGACAACATTGGTTGCCAGGAGCTGGGTGGGATGCTGAGCCCGGTGGGGAGAGCGGCGTCGCCCAACCAAGACCACCAACCCACCTCACTCCCGTTTGCCTCAGGCAGGACGACACCGGTTGCCATGAGCTGGATGGGACACCAAGCCAAGTGGCGTCACTCCAAGATCACCAACCACTCCCCCCATCCGCCTCAGGTGGCAAAAAATGCTAGGGGCAACATTGGCTATAGCTGCAGTATTCTAACAACCTCAGAGTGGATATTCAGGTTCTTACTAATGCTCATTCGGGGCTGTTTCTCTTGAAGAGAATCTGCAGTATATTGAAGGCAGGATTTTATTGTAAAATGAAGAGCTGTTGAAATGGTCAAACCCAAATTTACCAATGCTCCGGCAGGTAATAAAGTTTAACTATTTATCAAGTTTGCCTGGATTTCAGCTTTAAAATGATCTTGACTCGCCTCTTTCCCCCTTTCAGATAGAGGAGGTGAAGAGGAGACCGCACTGCCTGGCCTTCTGCTCTGCTGAAGCACAAGCTCCCACCTACCACGTCAGCTTCGACTCTGCTGCGGAATACCAGAGATGGCACCGGCAAGCAACTAAAGTAAGGAAGGCGTCCTAGGAGTGAAGAGCAGGGTGGATCATTGCATTGGGCATTATTGGAAAGAGGTGTACGGTCATCTCCAGACAATACTGATCACCCCTGGAGAGAAGCAATGTCCATTTAGGACACAGAACAAAACTGCTAACCTCATTCATAATGTGATTAAAGCCCAATGCCAGCCAGGTCTTCATTGAGCGGCGAAGGGTTAAAGCCTCTGTCAAACTTGTATTGCATAGCTAATAGAGGAGATTACTCCTCAGTTCCTGTCTGGATAGGAAGTGATGGGACATTTTTCCAATGGGGACACAGACAGAAACAAATTTTTAGGAGAGGGAGGAAGGGTTTGAGCTTTATACATCATTTATTGTTGCCTGCCTCATTTGTTTGTGGGTGTCATAGGGACAGGAATTGAAGGTGAAGCTCGCAGTGTGCGGTGAAATCAGAGGAAGCAATTTTAGTCCAGGAGAGGAGCTGGCACAACTGTACAAGACTGAATGGAAGGCCGGAGTTCAGCTTTAATACTTTATAGATCATATTTTAATCATTATACAATTCTCTTCCAGGTCGTATCTCAGAGGCTGAGCACCGTTGATCTCTCGTGTCAGAGCCTAGAAGAGATTCCCGAGCACCTCTTCTACTGCCAGGACGTCATGTCCCTGAACCTCCGCCATAACTTCCTGCAGCTTCAGAGTCCAGCAGGAGTGAGCAGTCTCTGCAGGTACTCATGCGCACTGCTCTGCCTGGGATGAGCTCTGAGGTCAGGGCTGTTTAGTTGACATTGCTGAAGCTGACCTGTCTTTGTGTTTCTTCTAAGGTTTTCGCAGTTGAAGATTCTCAATCTGTCACAGAACAAACTGGGACATTTTCCTTTCGAGCTATGCCAGATAGCCACACTCACAGAGCTCAATGTCTCCTGTAATGGGCTGACACACTTACCTCCGCAAATTGGTCAGTTGCTCAGGTGAGTTACCTTTTTATATTCACCTATGTATTCTTTCAAACTTCAATCTGTTTGGAATAGATTGAAGGTAATGATACTAGGTGACTCCAATTTCCACACCACAGCTGAAAGTTCAAATCGGGTCATTGGTGGGAGTGCTGATGGGCAGGAAGCTGGGATGGTGCTATGGTGGGCTTCCAGGATGGATAAAGCTTCGGGTGGACTCTTTGGCCTTATTAGGGATGAGCTCAGGTTTGGACCTGAACCAAACCCGAACCTGAGCTCTTCCAAACCCAAAAGGAGCTCCTCCCAAACATGGAACGTAGCTCCTTCCGTGTCACATATTCAGCTGCTGGTGGGGAATTCCCCATGCACAGCTTGACATAAGCAAAGGGGCGGGATGTAGTGACGTCAATTACCTTATATGGCTACATGTCTGTATTTGGTAAGTGACATTTACCTATTATGGCTGTGTGGCCATGTAAGGTACATGACATCACCACAAACATCCCATGCCTTTGCTAACATGCAGCTGAAGGGTGGGGAATACCCATCCCACAGGTGATTGGCTGGAAGCACCCATGGCACTTCTTTGTTCAGAGGAGCCTAGGTTTGGACTGGGTTTGGTCCAAACCTGGGTTCATCTCTATTAATAAAAGGGCCAGTGGTATGGAGTATACAGAATTGCAGTCTCTGAAATGTGTTGGGATGATCTTGCAATTTAGTGTGTACTGTGGAGAAGTAGGTTAGGAAAGGAAGACATTCTGTAAAAAATATGGAGCTCCCCCCCCCCTTCCCAAAACCCACCACTATATCACACTTGTGGAGATGACAAATTGAGTCCCTTAGCCAAGCACCAATGGAGAACATTCATAGGGGTGCCTGCAGAACCCGGCCCCTATAGCTGAATCCTGGAAAATCTCTGACACTTACTGATCATGCGGAAGCTTGCCCATCCATTCCTGCCTCCTCCACATTCCTTTTGGTCATTGTGGCCGCCCATTATTTCAATGGGCCAATAGGAATGAGTAGGGGCGGAAGGTTCCAAGGACACCAGCTCCAATACTGCCCAGAAGTCATTGAGGCTGCTGCAGGTAGAATGACCATACTGTTATCGCTGGTGTCTGCTCTTGTAACAAAAATAATATGGGCTGATCCTGCCATAGAGACCTCTATGGCCGTACTGGGCCAGCTTCAGTGCCCATAACAGCTGAATATTCACCCAGTATTGTCACCTGCCAAAGATTTACCAGTGGAGTACAGTGTGACGTTGTGTCTTGATGTCCCTCTTTCCCCCTTTGTAATCATTGTAATCGCTGAAAAACTGCTCTGGCCTACCGAAAACTACCCCTGAGCCACAGCTTGAAGATGAGTAAAAAGGGGCAGGATCTTGAGATATGTAGTTCAGGCAGCGCTTACATGCCATTAAGGCTTACATGCCTCCCACCACCCCTGACATTTTAAGTTAAATGGCAGCTGTGCAGCATCATGGGAGCCTGGGGAAGGACATGCAATATACATTAATTACACTTCTTGACAACTACAGCTCTTGTTCTTGGAAAAATTTGATAAAAAAATGTAATGTTTGGCTATGCAAATAATTTCAAATATTAAGAACATATTTCCTTCTTCACACCCAGCCTGCAGACACTTAACCTTGATGGGAATTCCCTGACAATGTTGCCAGATGAGCTGGGGTGCCTGAAGCAATTGACAAGCCTCAGCCTTGCATTCAATGATCTGACCGCCATTCCCAAGGTGTTTGAGAATCTTCCATCTGTGGAGAGGTTGTGTATGGCGGGGAACAGACTGGAGCTTCTTAACCTTCAGACACTTGGGAACATGACGCACATGAAGGTCATAGACTTGCGGTAAGCTGCTGGTTTCTTCAAATGTAACAGGACACATATCCACATAATACAAACCAATATATTTTAATATAGTCAGACCCCAAAGTTCTCTTCACCTTGGCTTCATGCTGCTTTTAATAAAATTCTATACTAAAGGAAGACCTAAACTGGAATCTGTGCCCAGAAATAAGGGAGTCAGAGAGCAAAGATCTAGTCACCAGTATTGCCTCTGGTCTCCCTACAGCTAATCGTTTCTCATTATTGACTAACCATGCCTTGGTCTTTACTATGTCTCTGTATGGAGGTGGCTATCCTGGTAGAGGCATGGCTTTTCTTCCTCATGACAGAGCTGCCCCCATGGCTTGGTGGGCTTATATTCAAGAAGCAGCAAGAGAGGTGGAAGAAGCATAGATCTACAGAATGAATGAAGCAGGGAGATCCTTGCTCCGCAGGTCCTCAAGTACAGCTTCCTCTTCAGCAAGGAGAACAGTGAGCAGGACAGGAGTGACCAAAACTTCCTCCAAATCTGGTGAGACTAGCAGTCAAAGCCAGTTGTGCCCTAGATCACACATTGCACAGCTAAACATCCGATAGCATGCAATATCTTATTTGCTCCCACCCTCACACTTGTTCCCATGAAACACAATCTCGCTTCAAGGCCATTGAAAAACAATAAGATCACTCAACTGTAGGAAGCCATTGTAACTATCAACCTGGCATTCTGAGTGAACGTTCTCTATGCAACATATAGATTCTTGTTGTTGTCTTATCAGGATAACTTATTTTCTCTTTGGTCAATGCAAGCTCTATTGAGGGTGGACTGGTGAGCCCCCAAAATGCGTTGGATTTTTCTGTGACCTTTACTTTGGCAAATAAAGCCATGACAGATAAGTCTGTTGTCTTATCTTTTGTATAGGATGAATCATTTGACTCAAGTGGGAGCCAGCCTGGAAGGGATAAACCACATCACTCAATTCGATGTGCGGGATAACCAGCTATCTGCTCTGGACCTCAGCTCTATGGGGAACCTGGAGCAATTGCACTGTGAACGGAACCAGCTGACGGAGCTGAGGCTGTGCGGCTTCTCCCTGCGGGCCATCTATGCCAGCTCCAACAGTAGGTTGTCATGTTATCCTCCACTATTTCCCTGCCTGTCTGTTTCCCGTTACTCACTGTGTGTTGGTATTTGCTGTCTTCCTCTGCAGGACTGACCTCTGTGAACGTCTACGTGGCACCCTCGTTGCTCCACACTCTTGACCTGTCTAGGTAAGTAGGCCGAGGATGGTATGGAGGCACCTTTGCACGTATGCATGCATGTTCTTACTTACAGGATCAGTCCACTCCGAACACTTTCAGTTATGGGTGGCCATTGATGGATGTAATCACCATCTGTTCTGTTGTCTTGGTCCACCACTCCCTACTGCTGCAGAGACTGATCTTGGGCCAGACTAACACGTTTGACTTTCCCTACATCTACCTGAATCTCCTGACAATTAAAGCTTCCAGTTATGCATTATTCAGGCTTTTATGATATCCCTTACAGCACTGAGCCCCCTCCTTTGTGTTTATTGGTATAACTGAGGGAAGGATAGGTGAGCTCCGTATATCATGAATTATGGCCATAAAGTAGACCCTTATATAGCATGCTTCTATTACAGGAATTGCCTAGCGTCGGTGCCGGAGTGCGTTTGCGAGGCCAAGAAGCTGGAAGCTCTGGATCTCAGCTTCAACGCGATAGCAGAGCTGCCTCTCAGGTAGTATTGAAGGTTTACCTGTGTGCAAAAGAGAATTTTCAGCTTAACTGGACCTTTACCCAAATCTTTAAAATATCAACAAACACACCTTTACAAATGTTTAGTAATGACAATCTACATACACATACTTCTAGAGAATTGCCGGCTTTGTATTCTTTGCATACCTTGTTTTTCTTTTCTTCTCCTGTCTTCTGACAGTGACCATGTTAACTAAGGGCAGATTACTAGCTCTCCTATTACTTCCTGGATTTCTGGCATATGTGACTAGGACATGTGACCATGCACATCATCTCAGGGGAGGAAAATGCCTTTCCCTGAGATCTTGTGAGATTACAGATGAGATTTCCCAGCCATGCTCTGCGGATGACAAGGCAATCTCAGTGTGCATTGCTTTGCCAAACTGAAGTCATTTGCACTTTTAAAGCAGGAAGTGAATGCTCTGCAAGTGTAATTATTTAACAATCGCAGCATTTTACACCTGACATGTCGATGTTATTATTAATCATCATACATGGAGGGATGCATTGGTAGAATTTGATTTTTGATTGTTAAGGTCCGCTTTATTGAAGGGAAGTGTTCCATGACTCTTGAATTGTGTATATCCTCTTCTGCTTAATTGCAGGGGGAAGAGTGCACATGTGCTTTTTATTTTAGTAGTTCTAACAGTTTCTCCTTTTGCAGCACTCTGTTTTAATTGGGTCAGAGTTATTTTTAAAGTGTACCAGTTCTTACTTGGAATGAAACCTTCTTTGAGAGATATATGTAGGGTACCATTACTAAATTCTCCTTCTGGAAATAATTGCTGCCCAGAAGACTGTTTTGATACTTCGAGGTGCCATCACGTACCTGCAGCAGCTTCCAGAAAATTGCTCTAATGTATAAATCCCAGTCCATTCTGAATTGCAAAGCTCTGGAGCTTCCTCCTATTGCTAAAGCTTCCCTGTGTCCTGCACATTCTTGTTGGTTAGTGAGAGAGCTCATCACTATTAGGAATGTGTGGGGGGTGAGAGATGGTGGCACGCTCTGACACTACCCAAAGTCCCAAAGCTATGTCTACCAGAATGGCCTTCAGAGGAACTGAACTTTGAAAGCTGTGCCCAAAAAAAGGTTAGCAGAGGGCAAAGCATTAGTAACTAGAATTGCCTGTCACCTCCCTGGAGATTATCTTTCCCCCATTACTGATCTACCATACTGAGTTCTGTGTGGAGGCGGCTACCTAGGTAGAGGCAGGGCTTTGCTTCCTCACGTCAAAGCTTCCAGCAACGAGCACAGTGAGAAACACATCAGTAACCTCCCCAAATCTGGTGAGACTAGCTCTCAAAAAAATCTTACACTGCAAATATACAACTATTGTATACTGTGTATGTTGTATGTACTGTATACAAAAGGAATGTATTGAAACGTATAAGAATTTTTCCATACTTTGTTGACTTTTCTCTTTCCCTGGCAGGATAATGGCCTCTTCTAGTCTGCGAAGGCTGCTGCTTGGACACAACCAGCTGAAGAACCTGCCTTGCCCAATGGAGTCTATTCCCCTGGAGACCCTGGATGTGCAGCACAATATGCTGAGACACCTTCCAGACTCCCTCTTCACCATAGCTTTAAAGTAAGTGTCCATGAGGCAGAGTGTGGCCATATTTGGGACTGGGATGAAGGACCGGAAGGAACAAAAGTACATAGAATAAAGCAGAAGTCAGTTTTAAAGAGATCCTGTCATCACCCCCCACCACCTTCCCCTCTTCCCCATCCCTAACCAGATAAACATACTAAATGGAGGTACTTTTATATTTTCAAGTACCCCTGAGACTGGAGTGTCAAAGGCTCTGCTTTAGAACAGAGACCCCACTGCTCCCCCTCCCCAGCCCTGACATCAGCCAAGGTCCTGGCAGCGTCTGAGGATGCCTTGTGTGATCTATAGGAACAGACTGCAGATTACGCAAGGCATTCTTGTCTCTTTAATCATTAAGTTATGGTCGGGTGCTGGTTGGTAGAATTATTTTCAGAAACAGATGACAATTTTCCGGCTTCTTAGGTACTCCTATAGCAAGACATTTAGAATGTTCTGGCTCTCCTTACCCATGCCATGGGGTCTTACTGCTCCTCCTGCATTGGGTAGATTCTCACTGCTCTTGTTGTACTCTCTGTATATTAGATAGGTGCAAAGCTCTCTCTGTTTGAGTTTACAAGAAAGATTAAAAGCTGGTAAGTGGTTCAGCTCACCTGGCCTTCACCCAATACTAGTTGGAGTAATCCTTAAACTTAGGGAGTTGCCCTTTGCTTGCCAAATGCTTTTATTGTTTTTATTGCTTTTATTGGTTTGGATAGGATAGCGGAAGGTTCAAAGTTCTTATTGCTGCCCCTGTCCCTGTTTGAGTGTTTTCCCCTTAACTGTAACCCAGAAAGAAAGAACAAATCTTCCCTCTTAACAGAGATCACTAGAACAGGCGTTTCCGCATATTTTCTAGTCCATAGCCAACCTTTCTTCATCTCATAATATTTTGTCTGTGGTAGGTACCTGTACAGCTGTTGTGGTTTCCAAGTGTCCACTTATATAGATGTCTGTTGTCAGTCTCAGGTTCCTAAATGCATCAGCAAACATCCTGGAGAGCCTCCCATCGATGTTCAGTGGAGAGGAGAGCGGGACCAGGCTGCAGGCTTTCTACCTAACCAACAACCGGTTAACTGACCAGTATGTTCCTTTCCTCACCATCCATGCCAACCTCAGGGTCCTTCATCTGGCCTATAACCAGCTGGAGACCTTCCCAGCCAGGTGAGCCTGTGGTAGCTTGGATTTCAGTTATGAGTTTAAGCCAATGATCCATATCACACATTGGCTTCTTATTGGACAACCTCACTGTTGTCAAGTTGACTGATGAGATAGAAAAAAAAATAAAATGTTCTCTTTAAGGGGTCACAGTGCCTTATGCAAATCTGAATATTCAGCCTTAAAGTGACCCTAAACTCTGGAGTTAAATCTTAAAAAATATCTTCAACTACAGTTATTAACAAAAATGTATCTTTGTGTATCACTCGGCTGTAGATCCTCAAATCATCTCTGAATTGGTGCGGACACTGTCCTTCCTTCTGGAGGGGGGCTACTTTTGTTCCCCATGGTCCCTGTGTGTTGTAAAGTAGTCACTGCTCCAAGCTCGCTCCTGTGATGGACTACAATCTCAATACAAATTAATAAACTAAACAGGAGACAAATATACCATTTTGGATTTCCTTCACTTTCTCTGTGGTGGCGGTCAACGTGACAAATGGGGGTTCTAAGCTCCTCCTGATTTTATCCATAACTAAGAAAAGAAAAGTTTTGGCTGAAGACCTCTATATACCGTATTTTGTAGCCATGCTGCTTTTGATTCTAGTGTCCTCACCCACAATCTGTCCTCTTTTAGTAAACTCAACAAACTGGAGTTCCTGGAAGAACTGAACCTTAGCGGCAATCGGTTGAAGTCGATCCCCAGCACGGTGTCCAACTGCAAACGGCTGCACACGCTCATCGCCCACTCCAACTGCATCAGCATCTTCCCTGAGATCTGCAACCTGCCGCTGATCCAGGTCTCACCCCACCTCCAACCTTACATAACCTCTCCCAGCTCTCCACTTCTCGCTCTGATCCCCTCTTATGTCTCCTCCCACTCCCCCCTCTTACCCCTGCAGGCTGTGCTACAGCTGTAGACTTGTGTACATGGTGTCATCTCATTGTCACTCACTCGGCCTATGGCATGAGATGTTGCTGCTCTTTGTTCCTGCAGCTGGTTGACCTGAGCTGTAACAGCCTGGCGGAGATCGCGGCCCCGGAGAGCCTGCCTCCTGTCCTTCACGAGCTGGACCTGAAAGGGAACATTGACCTGGTGCTGGACCACCAGTTACACGACATATTCAGGTAGTGGGACGTCACTGTCTGCTAATGTTACCAGCCTCATTGCTGCCCATGATAGTGGCTCCCCGTATCATTGTTTGTGTGCCATAGCGGGGACTGGCAAGGGAGAACATGCCTCCCCTGCCTACCTCTGTCCTTCCTAATAGCATTATTGTTACCACAATAATGTGGTAACATTATTACCTATACCTGTCTAAAATACAGCGGCTGCCATCTCTGACTTTGGCTGACTATCATTCGTTTATTTTAATTGGTGACCCACAACACATGTGCAGTTGTGAAGTCAAAGCTGATGATCTACATACTGGTTTAGTGTCAGGGGCTTAAAGTGAACTTTTGCTGTGCCCAGGCAGGACAAAGTAACAGCTTCACATAAATGCCCCCTCTTCCATTCCTTATACTCCCCTTATGTCTGCCTACTGAAGCCCCATAAAATGCCTGTTACGTCAGCTATAGGGGGTTCTCTTATGATGCAGCGCTGGGTGCCTGATCAGCCAATCACTAGGCCTGAGTGCTGTCACATGAGGGCAGGCAGAGAGTCCATATCCTTGTGTGAGCTCTGACTAGAATGACAAAGCTTTCACAGAGCTTATTTAACTTGCATATAACCAGCTGGGGAATGCAGGGAACTGTAGTTAACTCTGGACAAAATAAAAAATGCCATAAATGATGCGGTCTGTCACTAGCATTAAAGCAGCAGGTTTTGTTTTTCTCCCTGTAACACATTTGTATTACCTGTTTATCCTGCAAGTAGATTTATTATTTATATACTTCCTGTAATAGGACGACAACGTTGTTCATTTTGCGGTATTGGGACGGAATCAGGACTGTTAGGGCTCCTTCACATGTGCGATAAGGGCCACACAGTGGATTCCTGTGCCAAGAATGTGCGGATCCTGCAGCTGGGATCACAGCTGAATGTGAACAGTTTTGGCCAAGAAGCCTGTACCAAGCAATGACCGGTGCCACAGCTGTCCACCGCTGGTTCCATATATCCCCACATCCAGCGGTTACCTGCAGTTAGGGACAGATGTCTGACCTTTTAGATGCAGACAGATTGCGTCCAGAGTTGGGCATTGGTGCCTAACTGCAGGTATACATGTGTACAGGTGAAACTTGAATAATTAGAATATCGTGCAAAAGTTCATTTATTTCACTAATGCAACTTAAAAGGTGAAACTAATATATGAGATAGACTCATTACATGCAAAGCAAGATAGTTCAAGCCGTGATTTGTCATAATTGTGATGATTATGGCTTACAGCTCATGAAAACCCCAAGAACCCCAAATCCACAACCTCAAAAAAGTCGATTATTACATGCAATCAATAAAACAAGGATTGTACATAGAACAATATCGGACCTCTGAAAAGTACAAGCATGCATATGTACTCAGTACTTGGTTTGGGCCCCTTTTGCAGCACTTACTGCAATTACTTTTGCATGATATTCTAATTATTGTAGTTTCACCTGTACAGTGGTGGACAGCTGCGGCTCCTGTCAGCCTCTTATTGCTTTGTACGGGCTTCCTGGACTCGACTGTTTGCATTCATCTGTAATCCTCATGCAGGAATCTGCTATCTGGCCTTAATTGCACATGTGAATGACCCCTAAGTGACAAGTGTTTAACATTTTGAATTTCAAATCACTTGGGAAATGGTCACCAGGACAAATAGAGAAGGTGACTCTGTCTAATACTAAAAGAAAACACTTTAATTGTGACCATAGGACCCACAAATCCAGATCTTACCCGGCAGGCATAAAGGAATTCCCAGTCCAAGTGTCCTAATCAGATGATTGATAAAACATTGTGACTCCTCTTATTCTTCTGCTTTCCCCATACAGTCATATTCCCATCCTGAAAATCGACAGCAAATCTTTGCCAAATTCTGACCTGCCAGCGTCCTCCATCTCCTGCAATCACGGCTTAGCGGAGATGTCCGGACAGCGGAACAAGTGAGTATCGTTGGCGTCTGTGACGTGAACATCTTGCTTTGGTGACCCTGGCAATGTTTAGTGTTTTCTGTCCTCCCTTCAGGCTCTGCGTCTCCTCGCTGGCCGTGAGCGACTTTGCAGATGGCGTGGAGGCTCTGTACGGCATGTTCGATGGTGATAAGAATGAGGAGGTGCCGCGTCTGCTGCAGTGCACGATGGGAGATGTCCTGCTGGAAGAGCTGCAGCAGTCGAACTGCGAAAGGACGTTCATGTGCCACACGTTCCTGGTGTCACACAGGTTTGTAAAGAGGAAACTGGCAGACAGCTCGCCTATTGTATACAATGAGTCAGAAGATTAAAGCACAACTCCAGCCAAAACTTTTCAGAACAGTGAAAAGGGTTAGAGCTTCTGCTGGGTTTTATTGTCGTTTGCATCCATGTTGGAGATTTTGTTTTCCTCACTTTCTGGCAGGTTAAACTTGAAACATGTTTCTGCTTTCTGTCTTTAAAGAAGCAGCTAAGAGATGCACTGGGCATGGCTGGCAGTTACAGATTAGGCCTGTTCACCTCTATGCTGCTTCTTCAGCAGAGACCACGTGGCCAGGGCCTAGTCATCGGTCACCTGACCAGCAGGATTTCAAGAGAAAGGTATGCATTTAAAGGGCGCTCATCAGCATAAAAATATGGAAGCTGCCATCGATGACTCGTTGATTCCATATCCGGAAAGAATGGCACCTTTTCTGAAATGAGGGCTCCCATACTTTTTATTCTGAAAGGTTCCAATTTTCACGTATGGAAAACCAGAACCGCTCTTACAACCAGCTCCTACCCACCTGCCCTCTTCTAGGCTGCCTTACCAGCTGCTGCAATGCTTTCACTGGATGATGGGTGGGAAGAGGGTGGAGTTAGCATTAGGGGTGGAACTTATTTCAATGGGAAAGTGGGTGGGACTTGGTTCAAGGAGTGGCATGTTCCCCAAAGTAAGGAAATCCTACCTGGGTTTTCTTAGGTTAATAAAGATATTCACATTCTCCTTGTGATGTCTGCTCTTATCCACGATTCATAGTTTTAAAGTGTAACTCCGCTCTTGTTGAAAACAAACTTTGTTGCAGATTTCTACTTTTCTTTTTGTTCTGAAGAAAAAGCGGTTTGTTTCACTATGTCCTTTACAGACTCATCACTGAATGGAAGAGTCTGGTTCATTATAACCACCTTTCAGTGTACTCATGAGGAAAGGTGCAGTGTCGGCATCCCATTGGAAGTAGTTAATCCATAGGGAGTATCTCACCAAAGCTGACATTTATATTACAGGGGATGCCTAAAATGTTACTTGTACAAAGATGGGGCTCCTTATGTAAAGTAAAGGGAGGGGGGCTTGTGATGTAAAAGAGCAAACTGATGTGCAGGTGGGGGGGGCTCTGGTGTAAAGGGGGCTTCTGATGTGAAGGGAGGCTCTTGGTATGAGAGGGGGTGACTCTGATATGAAAGGAAGGGGCTCCTAATATGAAGGGGGGCTCCTGAAGTAAACAGGGGAGCTTGTTATGCAAAGAGGTAAATCGAATGTGGAAAGGGTGGGCTCTGGTGTGAAGGGAGGCTCTTATTGTGAGAGGGGGTGACTTTGATGTGAAAGTAGGGGGCTCCTAATATGACAGGGGGGGCTCCTGATGTAAAAGGGGAAGGGGCTTGTGATGTAGTGTAGTGTGAGAGGGGGTGACTCTGATGTAAAAGTAGGTGGCTCCTGATGTAAAGGGGGTCTGTGATGTGAAAGGGAGAACTCCACTTTTTTTTTTGGTCTCTGATAAGGGTCTGTTTGGATTCTGGAGGGACCTCACATACTACATTTACATTTTAGACTTGGGCACCTCAAAATTTTGCATACCTTTTAAAGGGTGCCATGATGCTGCTGTATAGAACATCTCCAGGTTGCCATATTGCATTGAATTTTTGAACCATTTTAGATGGTTAAAATGACGGCAGCTTCATATTGAAATGGGGAGGTCTTTTTTAATAACATTAAAGTACACGAGGGCCTGTGCAGCAAGTTCATATGATAAATCCAGTTTTTTTAATGAAGTGGAGTTTTCCTTTAAATCTATAAATAAGTTGATAGGTTCCTTTTTTAAAATACATCTTGGGATACAGTTGCAGCCATAATAGGTTGTTGTCCTTTCTTACTACAGGAAGCTGGGAACGGCAGGCCAGAAACTGGGCTCTTCTGCCCTTTTGTGCTATGTCGGACGCGGTGCCACTGATCACAGCTTCTCCCTGACCGTTGCCAACGTTGGAACTTGTCAGGCCGTGTTGTGTCGGAACGGGCGGCCTCTCGCTCTGTCCAGGGTCTTTAGCCTGGAGCAATGTCCTGAGGAGCTCTTACGGATCAAGGAGCAAAGGGCAATCATCACCGAGGTATTCTGAACTTCTTACCTGTATAGGGTTTTTCAATGTTGAGTACTTTAAAAGCCTTGTTTCTCTGTGTATTCTTCATTTTATGTACATGGGGGGCATCCATATTTGTCCCTGCTTTGCAGTACTATACAATGGTTATTGTGAAGGTTTTGTCTCTTTTAAAAATGCTGCAAGTACAGAAAAATATCTGGTGATCTGCCAGAAATCCAGTGGGCCCCTAACTTCATTTAGTGAGCTCATAACATTGCCTATGCTGCACTGAAATCCCCAGCAGTGTTTTCATACCTGTCCAAGTTCTCCCTTGCTGGACTACTTAAAGTGACATTAAACCCTCAGATTTTTTAACATAAACCAATACTGTAATGTGTACCTTACTGTAATCCATGGTAGTTTCCCTTCTCTTTGCTGCTCTTCCTTTTAAATCCTTATCTCTTCTCATGCTGGGGGAGAACTTCCCTTTGCAGCTGAGTGCCTCTTCCTGTAGTGCTGGCTCAGGTTGTGAACCTGCACACAGACACCATGTATCCATTCCAGAGACAAGGCAGTCTGCTGCAAAACAGAAGTTCTGCCCAGCATGAGAAGAGATACGGATTTAAAAAGAAGAGCAGCAAAGAGAAGGGCAACAACCATGGATTACAGTCTGGCACACATTACACTATTTTATGTTAAAAAAGCTGAGGGTTTAATGTCACTTTAACATCTCGGCCTCTCTTTATCTTTATAATATAAGGGGAGGTGTTCTGTAATCCACCAGGGAGAGGAAACCTGTTTGGGATTTCAGTGCAGGAGAGGCAGAGTGCACATAAAGTTAGGATCTTACTAGATTTTTTTACATTGGTACAGAACCTTGTGATTGAGACTTTGTAATCATATTCTTCATTTCCTGCTCCAATGACTTTAGATTAGGAATCTGGTTGTTATGGGACAACCATCTATTATTATTCCCCCACTTACTGGTTATTTCTGTCCCTGTCTTGCAGGACAATAAGGTCAATGGTGTCACCTGCTGTACCCGTCTGCTGGGTTGCACCTATCTACACCCCTGGGTGCTCCCAGATCCTCATATCTCCACTTTGCCACTGACCGTGCAGGATGAGATGTTAATCCTGGGTAGCAAAGGGCTGTGGGAGTACGTACCAGCAACAGAGGCTGTTCAAACCATCCGCCACCTTCCCGATCCGCTGGCCGCTGCTAAGAAGCTGTGTACTTTGGCGCAAAGCTATGGCTGCCAGGACAATGTGGCCGCTTTGGTGGTGTGTCTCAGTATCGGAGAGGACACCTGCACTTGTGAGATGCACACACTGACGTTACCTAATCCATCCGGTTTAGCCTCCGCAGTGGCGACAAAAGAGTCGCCCGACTCGGTCACACCGTCCTCCTCTGAATTCAGCAGTGAAATGTCCGTATCGGAGGTGAGTAGTGAAGTTGGGTCCACGGCTTCAGATGAGCACGCCATAGTTGGCCTAGAAGGAGGTCTCATCCTGCGCCCTGAGCGGAGGTGCAGTTTGCATCCCGTTCCTTCAGCCAGCACCTTTCAGCGGCAGCCGTCTTGCGCCACCTTCTCCAGCAACCAGTCGGAGAACGGTCTGGACAGCGACGACGAGCTGCAAGCCGAAGGCCTCATTATGGGCAGCCGGCTGGAGGTGGAGGTGGACATTCACTGCAGCAGGCAACATTCCCCAGAACCACCGTATGTCAGCACTTTCCAGAGCCTGGAGGAGGACAGTTGTGGGATTTCCATGCAGATTCTGCAACAGAACACCATAAACCACAACCCAAACCAAGAGAAGGACGAACTGCCTTCCTCGATGTCTGTGCTGAGTTTATACAAGAAGAAGCACTCGAATGGCTCTGTTGTACCGCTCGAAGAAATACTTAACCTTATTGAGGTCGCTTCTGAAGCTCCAAAGAGAAAAACTGGTTATTTCTCAGCTCCTTCCCAACTGGAACCCGAGGACCAGTTTGTGGTTCCTCCACACTTGGAAAATGAGGTGAGGGAGCAGCTGAACGATATGTCTTCTGGAGCAGAAGACAGAGTCAACGCCCCCGAGGAGTTCGACACCGCCTTGTGACCTCATGGACCTCTGAAACCCCAGGATCAAATTGTCCGCATGATCCAACAATTGCACATTTTACAACCTGAACATTGCCAGTTTGAACAAACTTCTTACTACTGAACCTTTTGCATAGAAAGGTGTGGCTTCTTTTTGTTTTCTTCTGTTAAACGATGAAAACACTCATTTAACCCATACATGGCTGACGGATCTGCCAATCACAGCATACCTCTCAAATCCTCCCCCTTTTTAACACCAAATGTTTTGTTTAGCTTTTTTGTGCACTTAATTTATTAACGCGTTTTAAATTCCTGGTCGTTGAGCCAATGAACAAATGTGAATTAAATCCAAATATTTATATATTGAACTAAGTGGATATGCTGAAGCTCTGACGCCCTCAACCATGGCTTGGTCCTTTTGGATGTGTGCTGAAGCCCTTTGCCTTCACTAGTGTGTTTATAAGGAAGATCATTCCCAAAGAGGACCCATTGTTGGGGAGGAGGGGGGGATAGCTGATTTATATTTTTATCACTCCAGAAACACACTGGAACAGATTGTTCCTTTTAGAACAAATAAGTTATATAAGTGCTTATAAAAAGCACTCCGAAAACTCCTAGAAAATGTGATTATTTTTTTAAATTGCCTAATTTGTCTAACTGTTGCTCCAAAGTATCTGGGTTAAAGTATTTCTAAAGCCAAAAATGTTTGGTTCATTTTGAATAGAGTAGAGTAAGGTTTAAAACCCCTTAATTGTTGTTTCTTTTCTTTTACGATATCCCAATGGAGGGATTTACCTCTACTGACCTCTACTACACACAACAGGAAGTGGGGAGACATCTCCTTTTAGACAGTGGTCATCACAAATGTCCCCTTTGGAATATCTGTTTTGCCTTTATTCCCGTTCTGGTGACAGTTTTAAAATGTGAATCTAAGTTCTCTCCCGTGACAATGGTCACCAGGACAAAAGGAGAGGGTACATTTTCCCAGTGGGGACACAGATACTGATAAAAAGCAACCAGAGGGTTAAATTTGTCTCTACTCTATCTCAAACTATACAAACACATTTTGACTTTAGGTACACAAGGCAAAAATATCTCCACTCAAAACGAACTGATCTATTCTGGTAGTTGGGCAAGGTTCAAGCCCCCATTATGGCTTCAGTTTGGGAGGTCTTCCCTGGTTGGGTTATGACCATGTTCCTACCAAGAACCCATTGGAGGTCGCATGATACAGTATTTCATGACCTGTATGGAGGATTCTCCATAGGCAACATTTTGGTCTGAAAGGATCATTTCCACATATCACAGCTGAGCCTGGGTTGGAGATTCCTTTGCCACAGTCTTGGACAACAGTACTCCCCAACACCACTCCCTAACCATCCCAGCAATATCACCATGAGGTTGGTTCTGTAGACCCAAGGTCTAGAGGTTGGGCGTTCCACGCTAATCGACTCTGATAAAGACAAAATGGGCAGAAGCCTTGGAACCCCTTGCTTTCCCAAGTCATCATGCCTATGCCTAAAGCACCAACCATTGGGCTGTTCAAATCGAATCCCCAGAAGGCAATGCTTCCAAATTCAACTTGCTTGCCTCTGATACATTTCTGTATTGGATAATGCTATAAAAAAAACCACTTTAAAGTAGAAGGCAATGGCTGAGCAGTAGCGCAGAAGTGACGGAGCCTGGTTGACATAAGCTCCCCTTTTGGGACTTCATGAATAAGCTACGAACAAGGGACATTTCCTAAAACTTTTCTAAGGTTAACGTTGACCAAGGCCCTCGCCTTGTTTATTTTCTCTAAGAGAACATTTGTGATCTGCTGCATCAAAGCCGCTTATCTCTTAAGCACTTTTAGATGAATTTTATTTTTTCCTCCCATTATTCTTGTAAATAACTTCCAAGAAAGGCGGAAAACGGGGTGAAAACAGTATGGCAACAGCTGAGAACAATGAAGTTTTGGCCATTGGTTGTGTACATTCCTCGTGAAGCTGTCAGGACTGATGCACTTGTTACTTTCTAAAGTATTTGAGCTGTAAGAACATCCGTTATACATGAAGAAAGGTTTTCTTCTAAAAAAAAAAAAAGGGGGGGGAGGGGGCTACATGGACCTGTTGGGAGAAATATTTATCAAAAAGAATTCTACTTTGTGACAGACGAGGTTAACTCTTTCCTTGATTTTTTCCCCGTTAAACGCGGATCCAGATCAACTTCAGAAGACAACATAACGAGGTCAGTTTAGCTCTAAATGCACTTTTTTTTCCTGTCCCTGGCCAAAGAGTCAGATAATATAAGAGGAAACCTTTGCTGTGGGCAAGGCCTTTTCCGTTGATGATATTGCTATGAATTTGTCCAAGCTGCACTAAATGCTCAATACATACGGCTGTCTGTCACTGCTGATAACTTGGACTATAATCGGCTTTTGTTTCCATGTAAAATGTCCGATATATGCACAGATACTTGATGGGGGGTGAACGTTATAAAATGAGCGGTGTGTTTGTGTGTAGTGTGGTGGGCCAGCGTAGAAGAAATAGTACGTTGTCAGTTGACTTCTGAATGGGATAACACCAACACTCCACAAGCAAAGCGTGGAAAGTCAGCAAGATGTCTGGGCTATGATCAATGTAAATCTGACTTTGCCTTCGGCAATCACTGAGCATATGAAAACAAAATACATAATTAATAGGCCCCTTCAGTAAGAATCTCTGATCAAAAGGATCTCTAGCCCTAAGCAGCTGAAGTTATGTGCAGATATTGGCCTTCCTGTTCTAGTCAAGCTTGGTTCCACCTCCTAAGACTCCATATTCCTCCCAATCCCTTTCCTTTGGCAAAGGGATTGGGAGGAAATCTATATGGTTTGGGAAAGGGATTGGGAGGACATCTATATTCATGCCCTTGGTTTGGGAAAGGGATTGGGAGGAAATCCTATATTCATGCCCATGGTTTGGGAAAGGGATTGGGAGGACATCTATATGCATGCCCTTGGTTTGGGAAAGGGATTGGAAAGAAATCTATATTCATGCCCATGGCTTTGAAATGGGAAGTCCACCCAGCTCATATAGGTGTCTGCAGAACCTTTGCCCATATAGTATACCTCCATTGCTTAATTGGTGGCGCACCTAATGGTTCAGGGTTACTGATAACCTCATCTATCACCTAAAACATTTTTTTGTGGCAGCTGCTTTAAAACTATCCCATACAAAGGTAGATCAGTCTGCATGAGCCATCTCATTCCTAGCTGTGGGCCACACAGTCTTTAATAGATCTGACCATCTACAGGCATGGGCAAATCTGACAGACAGGGGCAGGGGACCAAGCATGGTATTGTTTAGCAGATGAAATAAACACTTGCATGCAAGATACATATGCATGCTAGATGAACCTGGGAATGACTATATGTTCCATCTCGGCCCTACTATAGCCTTCAAAGCCAGGTTATGGGCAGTAATGACGGCTCATAACTATTCTGCTTAAGGCACAAGGTGCACTATCATTACAAGTATGACCCTCAAATTATTATTTTTTTTCCCTCCTGTAGATTTTGTAAACTATTCTTGCTTACCATAACACTGCACCGATGTGTATGGTAAGTTCTTTTATATATAAAAAAAATGTGCTCATTCACCTTGATCACAAGGAAACGTGCCAAAGTTTGTGTTTTCTGGTAACAAAAGTGAAGCAATCGTGTCTTTCCAAAATAAATCCGACATCGGGGACAGCAGAGCCATACAAAGACGAGTCTTGTTTATTAAGCTTTTGGCTAGCTGTCCTTGGTGATCACATGACCAGGAACAACACTGATTGGCTCCAGGCCACTGTGGTAGGAATGTAGCGGTCTGGTGACACTTCTCTTACAAGCTTCAGGTTCACATTTGGAGGAGAACGTCCATAAAGGCGATGGGGCAAAATGATGTCCTGATGGTGACGCTGGTTGGTTATATTAATTCTGGTGAGGTAGTGGTCAAGTGGTTAAAGTCAGTGGGGCTGAGGTTAGCCGTAGGGAGGTGTTTGTGGTGCCTATAGCAAGCTATGGGATGCTTTATTTGTTAACCTGCATTAGAATCACAGCAGCTAGAAAGCTATGCAACACCATTTTCTCTCCTCTAGGTTTTATGCAGCAGCCCCACTAGGCCTCATTTATCAAAGCGTCCAAGTTAACAAAGGACTATATTGCCCAAAAAAAGTTTGACTGTGATTGGCTCTTGCAAGGCATCACAGATAAAGGCCTTCTTTTATACAGTAATGGAAACTGTGTCACCCAAAGGCAAATACATTTAGACTTTTTTAAGAGCCCGTTCTCATTTTTCTGCTGTTGCAGCGTTACGGCACATGTATCAATACGCGGTATTTTGCACGTTAGGGCGGCTCATTCATTGTGACTGGATATGCACTGAAACTGATCAAAAATACATACTGCACCATTTTTGTAATGCAGCACACCACAATGCATGGTATATGCACTGCCAGTTACTGTATCTGTGTGCAATGCATGGGTGGGAGGTTCACCTAACTCTAACCAATGGCAATTTATTTCACTTTTACACTCCAAAACCTCATAGATGCCTTCTATGTGTCCTCGGGTTTTCTTCATCTTGTTTTAAAACAGTCCTTTTAGCATTTTAGTGCTTTATACCCGGGGTATCCAAACTTTGGCCCTCCAGCTGGTGTGAAACTGCTCAAGTCCCATGAGGCATTACAAGTCTCTCATAGCCATGGGCATGGCTCCTAGCTGCAGAGACTCAATGGGATTTGTGGTTTTAACACAGCTAGGGGGCTGACGTTTGGTTTCCCCCGGCTTTTTATGATTCTGTATCTGTAGATTTCACTGCAGGAGGTGTCCTGGGCTCATGGATTCTGAGGTTGCTGTAGACTGCACTGGCATGAGCCTAAGGGTTAGGTTAGCATGATTCCAGATTGTATGCTCTGTATTTGTGTTCGGGCATCCCAGACACCCCATTGCGTATTGGAAGGAAGAGGGGTGCTCAGAACTGGAGTTGAGATGTTATGGCTGAGAGAGGTGGAATTGGTTGATACAAGATTTGGGCACAGTTAAAGCTCAATAAAGCAATGCCCAAATAGTTGGCGCTATACAAGTCCTGATAAGTCCTAATAATTGAACCCCCTTAATTATAAACACGCTACGTGTTGCAGCAAGGGTTACAATACCCTTTTGCTGGCAGCATGTAGGAGAGTAGGAGCAGTTGCCTGACTCTCCAGTGGTCCAACAGCTCTGCTCAGGGAGGGAGAACACTGTTGAGAAGAGCATTGTTCGGGAAGGGAGGGGGGTACATTTTGGACCACTGCTT